TCGTTCTAATAAACCCAGGATCTCGTCTGACAGACACTGCAAGTGTCTCGTTATCCCTCTAGTAAAACATTACAACTCAAATTTCACACATTTTTATTATCACTAAAAATATAAGAGTTCCAGATTACTGCACAGAGGTATTTGTACACATAAAAATCCAACTCAGTTATATTATCTTAGTTGCTTGCAAATTATTAATCTAAAAAACAAACAAACACTGGAAATTTGTCACCAGCTTAGGCAGTAGCTGAAAGTAAAAAGAAAACGACAGGCTATGCTTTACTGATCAGCAAACATTTACTTATAAACCTTCTTTAAATAAAACTGTTTCCTTTAAGCAGCCTCTTTGAAACACCAACTATTCGTCATCCTTTTCCACTTAAACACATTCCCTCATCAAACATCATGTGGTAGCATGAATTAGCCCTTTGCTATTGATGAAACAGTTTGACAATATACAAACAAACAAACAAACAAACAAACAAACAAATAAATAAATAAATAAATAAATAAATAAATAAAATCTGCAGGTTAGAAGCTAAAGCAGATCTAATGTTCCAGAAAAGCAAGCTTTCAACAAGTTTTCCGGTATTTCACCATTCATATTAGGCCTCAACTTGTGCATTCATGCAAATAATTCAGAGAAAATTCCTGGGTGTGCAGACTTTTACACTGCCACAATGAGTGTTTGCATTGGTCTAAAGGTCTAGTCACAACAACTGTTTCAGAAAGGACATGCTTTTCAGCTTCCTTTAAGCTGCAGGATTATGTTCGGGCAGAATCCTCATCAACTCAACAGATGAAAGTGAAACAAATAAGGCTTTTGTCCTGCATGTATTATTTTATGTTTAGGTCATTAAAGAGAACTTAAAATGTTGCATTAAAGTTTGTAAAAAAAATAAGTTCTGCAATGCCAGAAATCACACAAGCAACAGAAAGGGTGTAAAAGAATCTGGGCTTCTTTACAACGGAGGTGATGAGATCTTTGGCACCGAAAAAGGAATTTCTGTAAAGCAGCTGGGAAATGCTGCATTCAATAGCAGGAGGAAAACAAAATTAGCATTTCCTTCTGCTGCTTCTCCTGCAAATCAGGAGCTCAGAGGCATCAACATGTCCTGCAAAAGCCACAGAAACAACTGTTCAAACGCCTGACAGTAACACTTGCCCGTAACTTCAGGGAACACATTTTGAGCCAATTGTTCAGCTACACATACATTTCCTGTGTAAGTCTTAACTCATGTCCTTTTGTGAAGTGCTTGAGGCCACATCTGAAGTTACTACATACCAACAATCCTTTAAAATATAGCCATTTTATTTGGTTTTGAGCCCCGACAGGTTTGAAAAGATTTCATTTAGTAAAACAATATTGGCCGTGAATGTGCTTTTTGAGATGATGTGGTCCTGTTGGCGTCATCGTGCCGTGATCTCCAGCTCTCACTGGAGCGGTTCACAACAGAGTGTGAAGCGGCTGGGAGAGCTGTCATTTCTAACCCGAACCCCGGCCTGGACCGACCCAGATTAGGGCCAGGCTCGGTCGTTATAATGTGATTAATGGGCGGGGCGGGCCAGTCTCGGGCTTTTAATTAGGTCAGAATCAGCCGCGATCCAATTATATGACAACATGGCCTGCCATACATCCACCAGCCACAGGCAGTATTTCACCACGAACTGAATGGCCTTGAAAGAGGTAAAAAGTCAAGTTAAGCTTCAGATGGGACTATACTGCCAGGCAGCGATCCATCGCCCAAATGGACGTTCATTCTGCCGCTGCACTCAGCGGACACACGCGGCCGACGACGCTAACAGAGCAGATCCCAAACAGGTGAGATCCCAAAGCAGACGCATGTGTCACAGTTGTCTGTGTGGAATTCAGATGAATGCAGGCAGAAATGGGGTTTAAATGCTTTTTTTATGGCCATGACAAGACAAACACCTCTCAGCACTGAATCTTGTGCACTTTATTCAGCTGTGCAACCCCGGACGTTAATAACCAATTAAAAATGTCGGGAGTTTTTCCGGGTTCGGACCTGTAATTACGGTTAATTTGTCGGGTCGAGTTAGGAAATTATGACTGCGGGCTGGATCAGATTTTTTGGGCCCGAATGAAACTCTAGATGAGAATCAGCACCTCCAAATCCGAGGCCATGGTCCTCAGTCGGAAAAAGGTGGATTGATCTCTTCGGGTTGAGGGTGAGGTTCTGCCTCAAGTGAAGAAGTTCAAGTATCTTGGGGGATTGTTACGAGTGAAGGAAGAATGGAGCATGAGGTTGACAGATGGGTTGGTGCAGAATCTGCAGTATTGCGGACTCTGTACTGGTCCATTCTGGTGAAGAGGGAGCTGAGCTGTAAGGCAAAGCTCTCGGTTTACTGGTCAGTCCACGTTCCTACCCTCACCTATGGTGGCTAACTTTGGGAAGTGATCGAAAGAACGAGATCGCGAATACAGGCGGATGAAACGAGTTTCCTCATTTTTCAAGACCCAGGTCACGCTGGAGAGACTATGTCTCTCACTTGGCCTGGGAACGCCTTGGAATCCTCTCAGAAGAGCTGGAAGAGGTGGCTGTGGATAGATGCCTGGGCCTCCCTGCTCAAGATGATGGATAAATGGATGGATGAAATGAATGAATGAATGAATGAATGAATAAATACTGGCTGTGAAAGTCTAAATTATGTATTTTTCTCAGGGTAAAAAAAAAACATTCATCGTCCATATTCTTACAACTTAAAACTGAAGACCAGGGTTTGTGAAACTGATTTGCAACAAAAGAGTTTCTTACACGCGAGCATTTCCTGCTTCCTTGGCTGTGAAGTTACACCAGTAATAATATCTGCAACAATGTCTTCTAACCATCTGAACCAGTTCATAATGCTAATTATGTTAGGTATTAAAAACTTAAAACCGTATGAGTCCTAGTTTAATTTGGTGTGTGTCAATATGTAGTATCAGGGAAGATTCTGCAGGTTCTCTCCAATGAACAACGTCCTCTAACAAAAGCTGTAAGAGACTGTGATGTCTTTAGTACAGATAGATTATATTTTTACATTATATTTCTTTGTATGCATCCTTAAAAAACTGACATATGTGTGCACATCACATTTAATGCACACTTTAAACAAATGTCAACTTAAAGTATTCCCTAAACAACCAGCTTCTGCTTGGCTGGCTGTCCTTGAAAGGTGATCTCCAAACTCCCGTCTTGTCTGTCTAATAACAAACAAAACACCCGCAATCTGTAATCTTAGACCAGGACCCAGCCAGTGTCACCACTGTCACTTTGAAATCAAATACAAGTACTTGGCTTTGCAAAACAAAAAGGTAGAAATGACTCAATCTGTGTGAAATACACACCCAATCATTGCAAACGATTCATGATCACTCAAAAATAAAAATGCCCGGCTACAGAAACAGCCCAGTGTTTCAGCAACACTGAGCAACAGCTTTCTTGTTATTTCAGACAGCAAAGTCAACTTTCTGTTCATGGTTGATGTGACAACAGTACATCTTTCCAGGTGGCTGAAGGAGACTTGAACAGGTCAAATCACCCTGATGAGGAACACCAGAAGATAAGTATCAAGAGCAGAACGTTTACACAATCACGAATATTTATAGATGCTGGCAGTTTAGCAATTCTTTCTCTAAACCTGTGCTTTATACCAGAAATACTGCAGCTTAGTAAATAAAAAAATAAATAAAAAAGTGAAGGTCAAGAGCAAAATCCTGAGAAAAGCTCCACTTTCACCTCCTAAACAAACAGAAACTCACCAAAATATTCATGAAAAGTGTAGATTGAAGACAAACGCTTATCACCCGCCGCCTTTCATACAAGACCTTTAAACTAAAACCACCTGATGTTGAGAAAAGTTGTAGCCGTTTTGGTCGAACCTTGAAAATGACATTGAATGGCACCTCATGCGAAATAGCAAGAAGGAACAGCTACATATCTACCCTCGACACGTTGAGGAGAACTCTCAGCTACTACCAAACTGTGTTTTAGCTCAATATCTGGAAAAATAACCGAGTCATAGCCTTTTTTTTTAGTGTCGGATAAGGTAGATTAGCTGTGGTGGCCATGAGCAGTATTAGTCTACCCGGTGATGACTTTGTGAACGTTTCATTAAAATCTGACCATTGGTTCATGGGATATTTTGCTAACAGATACATATGACTGATGCTAATAGTTAATGCCAAAGCATTATGTAAAAATGCAGCCGGATGTGTAGTGCTTTCAGTAAATGATGGGGGAAAACTCAAAGCTACTAACTGTAGCTCCGTGCCTGTCAAATTGTTTGAACTGCAGCCATTTTTGTGTTTGCTAAGGTTGCTTAGCTGTGGCTGCCATCTTGAAAGGTGACTCCAGATGTTGGGCAGTTGTAGAGAAACATCCAGTGGTTAATTTCTGAGCGTTTCATTCAAACTCGTCCACTGGTTCACGAGAGAGAGAGAATCTAATACAGATAGAGACACGGGCAAAAACATTATCGCCCACCGCGGCGGGCGATAATAAACGAAAACGACTCCAACATGCAAACAGAAGGAAACCAAAACGTCATTATGCAATCATAGTGGGAGATCCTTAACCCCTCACCGACTACTAATCGGTTCTGACAGCCTGTGACTACGAATGGACATGAAGTAAATTAAAGGTGGTCCACCATTAAACCGAGCCGTCCACCAATTAAAGAGCCTCGTGCGCCTAATTTTACCCGCTACACCAGAAGTGGAGGGATATCACTAAAAACAACGATTTTTAGCTTAAACCTGTTGCTTCGTGGTGACTGTAAAAGAAGCGGTGATTGATATATTCAATAAAAAGTGTCCCTTAACTGGCAAAAAAAAAAAAAGTCCAACTTCGTCCTCATATCCGCGTCATTTCCCCGATAGGCGCCGAGTTTTAGCTACCCTTTCCTCCCAGTCTACAGCGGGCTTCCAGCTCTGAAAATACCGTTACAACAGAAGGCACATGAGGTTTATGGAGGCTATATAGAAAGCGTGTACTTACCGGAAAAGTACAATAAATCGACTTCTTCCCCGCGCACTCGGCTGGTGAAGTTGGGAGTGTCGGCTGATGGGCGGAAAGGCACTCACCGATACGATCCGAAGAGTCGAGAGACTCAGCCGGAAGCTAGCAGAATAAATAAACCGCCGTGACGTCATCAAACAGCGGGCCCTTCCAAAGATATGTGTAATAGAAAGAGAACTCACTACCACCACACTTTATTATTGTTGGTCTCCGGTTGAACAAACGGTACAGAAAGGTAAGCATCTTCGCAAACAAGCGACTATTGATTTTTTTTTTTTTCTATAATCACAGCGTTGACATTTCCTACATTTATTTAAATGCAACATTTTACTGGAATTCTTTTGTAATTTATTTCAAATTCAAAGTATTTACAATAATCAAAGACCACTTTAAATCCAGCCTTTGTTTGTTGTTTTAATCATTTTCGTTAAGCGACAAAACAAATATTTGTGCTTCCGGCTCCTTCTCTGCTCTAATTAAAAAAACAGCACTGCTGATCCTGTAGGTTCCCACACTCTTGACCAATCTTTCGTAATCAAGCAAACTAATACAAACAAAATTACTTCAAATATTAACAAAATATATATTTTGTTACAATATATTACAATTAAAAGTAATTCTAAGGGAATTAAACTAATTATAATTATTTCAAATATGTTAAATATAAAATAGCTCATACAGCTTTTATAATCTGCAAAATAAAATGGCATTTAATGTAAAAATTTCTAAACCAGATATCTGACTGTACAAATTATTTTTAGCATCTGGGAGTGTCCTATGAAAGTGGTCTTCAAATAAAATTCAGTGAGGTCTACCTCAAAAAAATCTAGCAAAAGTGCAGATAATTTATATTTAGATTCTCTTGATGACAGCTTTATTAGACTTTTCTCTATTTTTTAAGATTTTTTTTTTTTTTTGCACCTAGAAACAGGGAAAAAAATTGCAGGGAATTACCATAAATGCTTGAAAAGTTACACCACATAAAATTATTTAAACTAAAACACCTCCAATTAATTATTGGGAAAGGTTATGCTTCCCAAAATGAATCACTGTAAATTGTAGAAAAGCTGTGCCATGATAAAAGGATTGTTATAAATGGAGGAGGAACCTCACTGCCATAAATTAATTACCAAAAAAATGTGAGAAAAGTTGCATTATCCATCCATTATCTTTACCTGCTTCTTCCCTTTTGGGTCGCGGGTGTCACTGGTACCCAGCAGCAGTCACTGTGCGAGAGGCGGGGGACACCCTGGACAGGTCTCCAGTCCATCCCATGACACATAGAGACAAACGAGACAAACAACCATTCACTCTCTCACTCACACCTAGGAAGAATTTAGAATTACCAATCAGCCTAACGCATGTTTTTGGTCTAGAAGGAAACCGGAGTACCCGGAGAAAACCCACATATGCACAGAGAGAACATGAAAACTCCACTTAGAACGGTTCCAGTCCGGGATTAGATCCAGCGACCTTCTCACTGAAAGGCAACAGCTCTACCAACTGAACACTGGTTCATTTTCATCTATAAATCCCCTCCTTGGTCTGCTACCTTCTTTTATTTCCTCCTACATGTCACAACGTCAGTGCAGTTACAACATGCGCTCTCAGGCCATCATTACCTGCAGCGTTCCCTCATGTGGACTGAACTTGGCAAAAAAGCCTTTTCCTACTCAGCTCCTGCAACCTGGAACACCTTGCAACAGGATCTGAAGTTGTCCTCCTTGATTTCTTTTTGGGGTTTCAAACATTTGATAATGTCAATAGACAAATCAAAGCAAATATGTTCTTGTTTTTAGTATTTCACCCTGTTTTACAGCACCCTGATTTATTGCTTTATGCACTACTCTTATTTTAACTGCATTTTTACCCAAGTTTATTGTTGTCATTGTCTACTATTATTGTTGTCTGTACTTTATATGTTTTGTCTGGAACAGGCCCCTTTTGTAAATGAGTCCTCATGGCTCAATGAGACTAGCGTGTATAAATAAAGGTTGAAGGAATGAATGAGCCACCGTGCCACCTAAAAAAAGATGCACTAATTAAAAATAAATTACTGAATTGTAGAAAAGATTTTCCTGCCTAAACAGAATTACAGTAATTTGAGGGAAAGCTGCACTACCTACACTGAATTACAATAAAAATTTAAAAAACACACTCAAGTAAAGATAAAACAAAATACAAAAATAAATAAATAAATAATATTAATGTATGTTTAAATGTATGGTATAATACTTTAACTCTACAGAAATTTCACAGCTGATCTGGGACCAGATAAAATGTTATCTGGGTTTGTATTTGGAGTGCAGTCCATCATTCGTGGACTCCTTCTCTACCTCTGTCTTGCTGTGTTCAACCATGAAATCATAAATTTAACTTTAGATTTTGTATCGTATATCTGGAATTTATATTTTGTAATTTATATATAACACAGCAAGGCCCAACATACAAATCAATCTTTTGTTTCCCACAGTTACAGCTATGATCATGAGTACTGTGTGTGTGTTGCCCTCTAGTGTTCAATGCTTTCATGTTCATGTGCAGTAAAACAACTGGCTAAATTACCTGATTTTTATTTTGTTTTTTTAAATTAATAAATAAATTAGCTCTTTTGGAGAACACCTGTTTGTTTTATTTAGTAGGACATGAAGCTAAATTCCAGATAAGATAAAAACAAACAATGATATTTACATGTGTATTTTTACCTGCACAGGTGCACATTTAAGGGAATGCTTTTCAGACCTTAAACAAAACATTTTCATCTGACATCATGACAGGAAACATGATTCCAATAATAGCAGTCAGGTTAAACTGTCAGGATTTGTGTTTTTTTGAGTTGTTTTTTTTATTTTCTAGCGCTTTATGTTTTTTGATTGAGGTAATTTAATGCGTTGTGGTTTAATTGCATTTACTTGTATCTACCCTGTGTTTTTCTATGCCCTGATTCATGTTTTCCTCAATTAAATGTCTGATTCTTAGTGTTTTCACAAATCAGCCTGCCACGCCCATCTTCACCTGCTCCCTGCTCTCTGGTCGCATCCTATTTAAATCTTTATAAATCTATCTTTATCTTTATATCTTTATATCTACTTATAACTTAAATCGTTTAATGTTTTGCATTCATGTAGCGTTTATCTTAGATCTTTATACACTGTTTCTTCATTACACCTCATGTACCACATGTGATGCGAATGACAATGAATGAACTTGAATTCCATCCATCCATTATCTTTACCCGCTTCTTCCATTTTGGGTCACGGGGGTCACTGGTGTCCATGTCCAGCAATCACTGTGTGAGGGACGGGGTAAATCCTGGATGGGTCGCAAGTCCATCACAGGGACACATAGAGACAAACGAGACAAACAACCATTCACTCTCTCACTCACACCTAGGAACAATTTAGAGTTACCAATCAGCCTAACATGCATGTTTTTGGTCTGTGGAAGGAAACCGGAGTACAGAGAAAACCCATGCATGCACGGGGAGAACATGCAAACTCCACCCAGAAAGGTCCCGGGCTGGGATTTGAATGGACAACCTTCTCGCTGAGAGGCAACAGCTACAAACTGAGCCACCGTGCTGCCCTCAGGCAAACCCAAAAATATATAAAACATTAGGACAGAAAAAAAGCCCCATGCCAGCTACTTTACAGATCATATATATATATATATATATTCCTGAAATTAAAAAAAGGGCTTAATATTTTGTACATTTAACAGCTGGCTGTTAAAAGAAAGCATTTTGTCTTATATAATTTAATTTATAAAGTTTTTGTCAGGGGTTGTAAAAATGGAAGCCATCTGCATTGACACTGTCTCAGCCACAAATAAAGTCACAACATTCTCTCCCAAAACTAAAATCAAGTGTTTTATTTTATTTTCGTTACATAATACACTCTCTCAGTAAGGCATAAATTATACAACGAGTGCAAGCGTTGAGTTGAAGTGACATCGGACCTTTAAAACCAGCTGATCTTGATGTTAAAAGTCTTTGCCGAGTCACCGGACCAGTTCAGTGCATCTTCTGCTGTTCTAATCTCCACACACAGATCCACGACTGTAAGAGAGAGAAAAGGATTTACATCAGAAAGACAACACAGCTTCTTATTTTCAAGTTTTGAACGTGAAGCTGGATGTTTTTCCCACCCATGAGGTTGACACTGAAGGTTGTCGGCACACGGACAGTGATCCCGAGGACCCTCCTGATCCCAGGCCAGCATGTCCATCAGTAAGTTAGGGTGGTTCAGACAGGGCTCCCCCTTCACAGGTTTGGGGTTACAGACAGGAAACAAAAACTCTGTTGGGAGCAGATTTCAATCGTGGTTAAAGCTACATTTCAAAGATAAACGTGTAAAATCCTTTAAAGCTTGTAGAACAATTAAAACTTAAAACGGCTTTAAGGAAATTTTGCTTATAGGATGTAAAAGAACTCAAGACTTTTGCACAAAATTGTATGTTGCCTTTTAAAATTTGGTATTTTTCTTTCAAAATTCAGCTTTGTGATGAGATGGAGACACATAACTTACAGAAATAATAATAATTTAAAAACAACTGGATAGTGTAAAATAGAAAAAATTACAGAAAAGTTGAGACGTTGTGTAAAATGTCAATAAAAACAGAATGTAATAATTTGATAAACTGATAAACTGAACTTTTACTAATATTGAAACATAAAACAAACATGTAGAAACTAAGAAATTGTTGAAATTTTAGTTAAAAAAATCCTTAATATTGATTTTTATGTCAAAATCAAAACTCAATAAAGTTGGGACAGGGTCAAAACAAAGCTGTAAGTGATACAGCAGCGTTTTATAAAGGCTGCATCTCTCTCAAGTAAAAATGGGCAGAGGCTCACCAGTCTGCAAAAAAAAAAAAGAATCTATAAACAGTAAAACAATTTACAAACAACGTTTTAACAATAAATAGGGAAGACTGAATGTCTCGTCACTTTAAGTTGTTAGATTTTCAAAACTCTGCAGAAGTCTCTGAACTCAAAGGACAGGGCTGATAGTGAATTTTGGATGGTTGTGATTTCCGGGCCCTCAGGGGCCTCTACATTGTAAACTGTTCTGTTCTGGACATCACTGCATGGGCTCAGGAACACTTCCGCAGATCAACAACAAAGGTAACATTTGCTCTTCTGACATTCCAACTGGAGGTTGGCTTGAAACAGCAGTGAAGGCTTGGGACAGATCTGTTTGGCAGGCCGTAGACTGAGGAAGTCATCTGGATGGGGGATGAAACGTTTCTCACTTAAATAAACTGGTCCAGGTGACACAATTTAACCATTTTTGTTGTTATCTACCTGGATGATTGAGCTAACAATCCTTCCTCCACAGATCATTGTCTGTAAATGCAGTTCACCGTACCATCCACATATGCTGCTGAAAACTTTATCATGCAATAAATATCAGTAAGTGAACGCCATCTTGAAACTCTGCCATCTTCTCCTGACCAAAACTCATTTAAAATGGACTGAGACAATGGGGGAAATGGTTCTGTGCTCCGATTCATTGAAACTTGGAATTATATTTGGAAACCACAGACACTAGATCTTCTACTAAAAATGAGAAGGGCCATTCAGCCTGTTTTCAGCACACAGTTCAAAACATTGCCTTACTGATGGTATGGGGGTGCATTAGTAACTCTGAAATGGGGAGTTTACACATTTGGAAGGGCACCTTCAGTGCTTAAAATATATACATGTTTTAGAACATTTGCTCTCCTTCAGATGACGTCTTTTTCAGGGACTGTTTTGCATATTTCAGCAAGATATAATGTGTTCTTTACAACAACATGGCTACATATAGATGAGTCCAGAAGCTGAACTCGTCTCCTTTCTGTTCAGGGCTCTCACCAGTTGAAAACATAATGAAACAAAAGTTCCAGTAAAGACGACCCAGGACTGTTAAACAGCTAGAATCCTCCATCAGACCAGAACGGGACAACATTTCCTCCAAAAACTATAATAACCGGTCTCCTCAGGTCCTGGATGTTACAGACTGTTAAATAAAAAGGAGATACTTCAGGGAACATGGTTTTTAAATGCTTTGTTATTTCCACCAAAATGCACAAGTTCGTTGTTTCAACATTTTATAGTATACTGTGCTTTATTGTGAATAAAATATAGGTTTACGAGATTGAAAAAAAGGTAATAAAAGTCAAGACTGATGTGACTCCAGTGTTATAACAAGACATCTTTGGATTATTTTAAAAATAAAAAGTAGCTGAATTTATATTCAAACGTTATTTTTATTTTTTTAATGTAGTAAATGTGTTTGCGATGATGTTTCCATGTTCACCTCGTTGGAAAGCGCAGCAGAGGTCCGGCCTGCAGTCGCTCTGTCCCTGACAGATCGTCCCCTCGGCTCCTCTGGTGGCGTTCATGGTACACTGGCCCCAAACACACATCTGATCTGAGCAACACTCCTCATCTTTTGTGCACGGCTGTGTGGAGAAACACAAACATGTTATGTAAAACACACACTCTGTTGCTGTGGAACAGCACCACAGCTGCGGCTTTGGTTTACTGTAAATGTGTTGCCTCTGCAGGTAATACATTTTAAGTAGTTTTTTGTATGCGGGATGACACTTTAATGTTGTATATACCCTTTAGATGAGTCTAGTGGTTTTTCATTTTGTGTTTTAAAGACGTTCCTCTAAACATATAGGTGAATCACAACTTGTTCTACGAGAAGATTAAATTGTCAGTTTTACGAACATTTATCTTTTTCTGTAGCCCGGCCCCTTTATAACAGCAGGTGAGAAGATTTAAACATTTCACCAATACTGTACATTTCCTAAATTATCACCTTTTAAAGGCAAAACTGTCACAAACTGTTTTTCAGTGTTATTTTCTGTTTTGAAGTTTATGTTATGTTTTTGTGCTCAGTCTGTTTCCAGTGACTTCTTGTGTTTCCTTTCGTTCCTCAGTTCAGCCACACCCATCTACATTTGTCTCCAGTTATCATTAGGCCACCAGTCTCCAGTTATCATTAGGCCACTTGTCTCCAGTTATCATTAGGCCACCAGTCTCCTGTTATCATTAGGCCACCTGTCTCCTGTTATCATTAGGCCACCTGTCTCCAGTTATCATTAGGCCACCAGTCTCCTGTTATCATTAGGCCACCAGTCT